AAAAAAAAAAAAAAAAAAAAACCCGCACACCACCTCTCAACCACGTTAATAACTGTTATAGTGTGTACTTACTAAGATGTGATAAAAATCAATTGTGTGGAAAAAATACAATTAAACAACAGGTCAAACAACTGACAACAAAAATCTAAAACCGACGCCTACGTTTGCATCTTTGCCGTTTTTACTTTCATGATCCCAGTAAAAGTAAGCTAATTGTTAATGCGCCGTGTTTACTTCTATTACCAGTGAATGCCTCGATGGCAATGAACAATGAAGTCTATTCAGACTTACACCGGTACCGGCATAAAATTACATGACCTTATTATCGGCTCCCTTTCTGTTTTTCTCCCCCGTCTTTACACCAAAAATAGGCCATTGAAATTAACCTCTAAAGCCCCTGGCCACAGGCTCACTATTTGAAAAGCTTAACACTCAAAAGCGGTCCAAACAGTCCCCCGGTTTTATTTCTTTTAAAAACTCTGCACACGGAAAAGAACGAAAGGACTCTTCATATCTTTAAATTACTTTAACACACTGCATTTAAGCACTAGGAAGCAACAAATTACAATCAATCAAGATCAATCCTCAGCTCCAAAGAAGAACCTTTACCCTTGAATCTGAGTGGATGACATATAACAGAGTACTGGTAGTCTTTAACAAAATTACTGCATAGGAATCGTTATTTTTGCATTTTACATGACTTGATTTAGGTACGATTTGGGTAAAATGTTGATATATTTAGGAGTCAGATCAGTCCATCTTAAAAACTGGCTAACCCTTTGACCAGGTTTATACAAAGACCTAGCTACTTGCATTTTTGCATATCAATGCAATCACCCTAACATCACATCACATAAGCAGTATTTTTATTCTTTATATATTAACTGGGACACAGTTATGTCATGTCATATTGGCGTGCATATGTGTAGTTTAGAATAACACAAAAGCGCACAATCAAAATGCCAACATAATATCATTGAACTCGTGTTATCTGGCTCAGACGACGGCAGAATTACATAACGTTGTTTACCAATCCAAAGGTCCAAATGTTAGTCTTCGATCGAGTCACATACGTGAGGTTTGCATAAATCGCAATGGCTATACCCCTCATAGCGGGGTGTTTTAAAACACCTCTTCAAAACATTTGAAGCATGGCCTCTTGACGTAAGACCCGGGCCAAGGCTTGGCGCATGCGAGTCTGCGCGCGTTTGTGCTTGTGTGCGTGTAATGTGTACAAAGAGCGAATTGTCAGTATATGGAAAATCTTCATGTCATGTTTACTGCACACTTGTTGACTTTTTAATCAGCTTGGTTGAGACACAACACAACCGAAGTATATATAGGGTCGTCGACGTAGCTTTCTTACAGTGTACCCAACCCACGGGCCCTGCAATTAACGTGTCTCGTGTACTTGGATACTAGCAAGGAAAGATAAGAAGGTGTTTTCTACTCTCGATCGGATTGATGGTCTCACTTACTTGGGTCACTTGGTACAAATGTCTGCGCTATTCCGTCATCTCTCTTTCATTTTCTCCCTATATCCTTCACAGTGACCAGCCCTTCCTTCTCTCTCTCTCTCCACTAAACTACATGTCAACTGCGTTATGATTTAAAGTCCACACATAAATCCCCTCTGAATATCTAGTATGTGAATATCTAGTGAAAAAACTACACGGCCCTCGGGGAAGGCCCAACTGGTACAGTGTACATACCCGTAACTCGGCCTTCCACTGGTTCCAGCGTTTCTTTTTCCAGAGACTTGAATAAAGCCTGCATCGTGTATTCCCTACAGTTTAACAAGCCGAGTAGATCTTGCTATGACCACTTGTCATATATGGATCAAGGTGCATAGCACTACTGCACGACAATGTCTGTAAGCAATAGCAAACACATCTAGGTCAGCGGAAAGCGTAAGCGTCAAGCGGAGGCAGTATGAAAACAAGGTTACGGAGGTCACAGCTTGGTGCTGTTGTTGGAGTGTGGCGGTCCCTTAACCATGCAGCGACCGCTCTGTGTAAATCATGAATCCGTTATAATGATTCTTATTAACGTAATTGCTAATTGATAAGTGCTTATTAATTGATACATTTGTATTTTCAAAAATGTTAAAATATTTTGATTTCTTTTAGAATTTCGGGATGCACATTTCGAATGTTAAAAAGTCACTTTATAAAACTACTGTATTGAGAAGAGTAGGGAGCAGGATTCTGTTGAATAACTCATACGTTTTTTACATTTTTGTTATTATTAGCGTTATTATAAGATAATTCATATTAATTTGTCGTAATTGTATTATTGTTTTTATTTAACCCATCATTTATTTTTTCATTCTTTTGATATGAACAAAAATACATTTCAATTCATATAAATATTTGTTTTTTCTTGTATGTGTGAGTATTTATGTATGTGTGTATGCATGTATGGAAGTAGGCCTACTGGTATGTATGTACATGTGTTAATCTTGCCATCGATTTTAATTGGAGGGATTGACAACTTTTAAGTTAATTATTTTAAATAAGCTGTCAAAATTTGTTTTTCAATAACGTAAATTAATTAAGCTACTTAATTTACATGTAAATAGACCGCCTCCAACCTACAGTAACCCTTCAGTGAACTGAGGCAAGCGATTTTTTTGAGAAGTTGCAAAAGAGTGTAAAACATCCTGTAGCTCAAGGACATTGAACCTCTTAAACCATACCGGTGTAACGTGACAGAGAGCCCCCTATGATGGATAGTCCGTTTCCCATTAATTTGTATAGGTAAGCCTCGCTATAGATTTTGACCCACATAGGTCAGTCTTACCCTAACTATTATACATGTAAGTATACGGAGGGCGGACTTTCTGTTACATGGACCCCAGTTTCATTACGCCGGTACAGACGGATCTCTAAGAAATTATGATCAATGCGATACTAGCAGGACACCCGCTAGAATTTTCCAGTTCCCGCCTTAAAAGATGTCACCTGTACCTGTTTAGGTCCTTTTGGCAATGTGGTGGGCGATGCATTCGAAGTAAAATTGGCTGCTAATGACTTTTGGGGAAACCATTTTTGATATTAACATCATTACTAATGCCTTTCGGCATTTTGCTTTCCCAATAAAAAAGAACTACCACAGCAAGAACGAAAAATGTCATGCATTTTAGGCGACATTAAGTAAATTTACCTGTTGCTTTATATTGAAATGGTCACTGTCACGCAGACGAAATTTAATGGGAATTTATGATGCCAGTTATACACGTCCCTCCCTTCGCATGAAGTTTGATTAAACATGACTTGATTTAGGTACGTTTTTAACTGGTAATATATTGATATATTTAGCTATAGGAGTCAGACAAGTCCATCTTAAAAGATGGCTAACCCTTTGACCGGGTTAATACAAAGACCTAGCTACTCACGAAAATATCAACGGGAATTCCCCCAAAATATCATAAATATCATTAGCAGCCATTTTGTTTACGAATGCATCAGCCACCACGCATAGGAGACCTACCTAATCTCGACGAAAACCCCGTGGTGTACGAAAGGGCACGTCACCCGGCTTTTTCCACCATTCACGCCAGACTATCGACCTATGAATCGTGGCCTCCCGAAAAAGACCAAACGCCGGCGTCGCTCGCAGAGGCAGGCTTTTTCTATGCGGGTTTTAACGACAATGTGAAGTGTTTCTTTTGTAGCGGCGGGTTGAAGAACTGGGAAGTTGGGGATGAACCTTGGAGGGAACACGCCAGATGGTTTCCTAAATGTGGATTTTTAAAACAATGTAAAGGACTAGAGTTTATACGGAGCGTTGTGAGGTCTAGACGGGTAAGTGTATTACAATTGTACCAGAGAGAACGATCAAATTTTCTCTGAATTTTCGGCAGATGCTATGCATTTTTCTCTCTGTAGATCTACATTGCTGCATAGGAACGCATAATTTACTGCATGTCTATGTCAACCGTGCACTAAATTATGAAGTGGTCAAGTGGAAGTTTTAAAGTATTTTTAACCGCAGATTTGCATTTTGTATCAATAGAAATGTTCCCATGATACACACATATGAAACTGCGCAGGGGGATTTCTCCATCAGCTATATTTAGATCACGGTCATGTGTGATAATAACTCAGCAATCTTCATGAAAAGCAATACAAGCTTCTTATGTGATTTCCAGCAGTTCTTTTGATTCGTGTATTTAATTTATTAAACGAAAAGCAATCCAGTTTATCCTATACCAGAGCCACAGTTTGAACCAACCATTGGCCTTTAACAGTTATCTCTATGGCTGACGCAAGTTATTTTCTCTTACAAGCACTGCGTCTGGCGAGAAGCTCTCATAGTATTGACGGAATCACTCAGCTGGTCTCTGATAAAGAGCAACCCCAATTCAGCAGCACTGCAGCTTACTTCTGAATATTTTGATTCACTCCAGTTGTCAGATGCCACTCTCATATGGAATGGATTTCTATTTTTCCAGGTTTCCCAGGTTTCTACATTTTATTAAGGATGTATTCAAACTGGTGTTTATTAGAAAAATGTATTATTATTATTATTCCCTTTATACGTTTACATTTTATTATTATTATTATAATAATTATTATTATGATTATTATTATTATTATTAGTTAAGAATATATATATATATATATATATATATATATATATATATATATATATATATATATATATATATATATATATATTCATTTCATTTCAGGGGTCACCTCCTGGTATCCCGGGGGCCGGACTGGAAGGTGCACCATCCTCTCAAAGTACGTGTAGATGATGACATTTCTGTGTATAACACTGGGTGAAATCTACAATAGAAACTAAATATGACATTTCCACTATGCTAATGCATACGCATTACGTGTCTAAGCAGATGGTGTAGCGTTTATTTTTTTGTTTTATTTGATCTTGTGTGTGAAAGAGCGGTGTTGATGTAGCGTGTCCAGCAGGTCTTTGTTAGGGAAACGAACGGCAGGTGGACTTGCGTTCGCTTTGGCAAAAAAAAAAAAGAAAACAAGGAAAGAAAGAATGAAAAGAAAAAGGAAAAAAGAAAAGAAAAAGAAAAAAAGAAAAGAAAATGAAATGAAAACGTCTGAACAAATACTATTCTTCTAAAGCTCTTAATGCAGTTAAGAAAACATCTGGAGGCGGTCGTTAAAATGAGTCATCTTACCTAGGTGACAGAGGACCCAATTTTCTCTTATAAGGGCCACTTCAACACAGTCATTTACGTCAAGAATCTCCATTCATTTTTCGACTGCCAGTAATGCTAAATACTGTATGATAGCATTATACCTTTTATTCGTCTTTAATATTCAATTTCCAAACAGAAAAAACTGCAAATAGATCGAATATTTTCCTCGAAAACTGTAATCAAGCATGTTCATATAGCGTTGACATATATTTTAATTCATTTTCATTCTGGCCCACGTACATTGAGTGCTGAATTAAGAAAACCCTATGCTCGTGCTGCGTTAGATGTGGGTTTTGAGGAATCCCTGGTGAAACAGGCCATTCAGCAAAGATGGGATACACTTGGTACTTGTTTTTTTTTTCGTTTAATTATAAGAAAAAAGAAAGCTGTTTGGTATGTGCGCTCAAAAAAAGTTAATTAATTAATTAGTAAATAAACACAGTGTGTAGGCCTACATAAATGCATATGTAAAAAAACTACTGGCCAGTTAAATCATACTAGTGGACTTTCTAATGTCCAACTTTATTTACATTTTAACAGGTAGAAATTATTATTCATAACATATAAATCTCAAAACACTATTTGCAGGAGACGACTTCCCAAATGCACCTGCTCTTTTAGACGCTCTATTTGAACTACAGTCATCTGACATCACCAAACCACGTGACACTGAATCCCCTGTCGAAGGCGCGTCTGCGCTCACAACACCCGAAAAGAAAGAAAAATTGAAAGACGAAGGGAAGACGAAGACAGAGGACCCTTATGAAGATATCAGAAAGGAAAACCAACGTCTCAAAGAACTAAAACTGTGTAAAATTTGTAAAGCGGCCGATGCTGATGTCTTAATTTTACCTTGTGCGCACATTGTGTCTTGTGACAATTGTAAGCGACACCTTTCTTTTTGTCCCGTCTGTGGTGGAAGAATAACAGCACTCGTGAAAACGTACCCTGCTTAAGACGCTCTCTCATATTTCAGATTTCATATTTCTGCCCTAGCGATTTTGATTAAAATTGTAAGACAAAATCTTCTTACCATATGAGTAAAAAATATGAAAAAAAATTGGGGGTACCCATGCTCGTTTTCGAAAGGTGGCGTCCCGAAAAACACCAAGTTTATTACATTGCGTTATATGGGGATTTTGCCAAAATGCCCTTAATTTGGCTGAAAAATGCAAAACTAAAAAATTCTGCCCTAGCGATTTTAATTTTATTTGGATATGTTATAGATCTTGGTAGACCTCAAAGAAATTTACAAAAAATATGTACCTATCTAGCTTGTTTTTTGAGCCAGGGCTGCTTGAACATCGATTATTTATTAATTTTACATGGGAATCAATGGAAATTTCCTAGCAAATTAAGATAAATATATTTGTATTAAGTTTTTAACTCATACACTTATTATGCTTCCATGAAAATTATATTTATACTTCTCTGCATCACTTAACCAAATTTCATAAAATTTGCATATCCCATTCATAATAAATAGATAATCAAATGTTGAAAGTATCAGTTGGATTTCAGTATGCCTCATGGAATGCCGCCATATTGGATTTTTCATAGGCTAGGCAGATTGACCAAAAGCATATTATATCAATCTCATGTGACTTATTTTCTTATTCCTTTTTATTTTTATTTCTTTTGTTTCTTTATTTTTCTTACTCAGCACTAAAATATGCACTTTATGGTGAGATAACTGGATAAATTGTTTCCTTTGTATATTAACAATGTATCAATTTCTTACTATGGTAAGTTAGTCATATTTCTTCTCNAGAAGAAAGTAAAGACCATCTAGACTTTCTCTTTGAAAAGCAATTACAAATTCTGATATGTTAACCCTGACAGCTTTATTTTTTTTTCCTACACACGGAGAAATTATTTTTTTACAAACAAGTTTTCTACAGAATTTGGTAAAGATTTCACACAGAATTTAGTCAATTGACTGGGGTAAAATAAAAAATCTGAAAAAAAAGGATTTTCTTCACTTTCATCATTGCTAAAATTAACTAAATTTTGTAACTCAAGACTATCTTCTAATGCATTATGGGCTGAATAATTTCTGTGAAGTAATAAATTTGCAAACTAAAGTCGATCTCTTGTTTATGATTGGGTAAATTAGGATAAAGTTGGAATAAAGTACACTTTATCTTCTAAAATATACTGTTTATTTTCCTAGCATCAAAAAAGTATAACATGTATCTGCATAAAAACCCTTGGTCCTCTGTTGTGTGTTTTATGGTTTTGTCCATTTGCACTTTAACAAAACCATTACAAGAATGACGTCGCAACACGCCAGGCGGGTGCACACCTGTTGCAGTTTTCCTGGAGAGCTGAAAATCGCACTGTTTGCAGGTCAAATTGTTCAATAACAACAACAAAACGCCATGAGTCTAATTATTTTAACTTATTGTGAAAGAAGAGAATTGTTTTCAGCATACAAATCACGGTAACTTGGCTCTGGGTGATCGGAAACCAATGCTGAAGAAGACAAAGTCTTGTTGCACACATCGTAACCATGTGACAAATCACCACAATACACTTTGTGGTCAAAATGCAAACCATTGTGATTACTTTCCGTGAGATAAGATCTTGTCACTGCTATACAAGCCTTACTAAAACGCTCTTTTCCATCCCGTCTTCACGTAATTTCTTACATTGCGGCATTTGTAAACAAAGTCGCAAGTGGGTACTTTACGTCGTAAAAGACCAAGCGTTCACAGATACGCAACGCATTGTTGACATATTTGTAGCGCTTCGACCAAAATAACATTAAAGATTTCATACTGATTTCTTAAAAGGGTGAATTACGTATTTTATTGCATGTTATATGTTTATCATTAGCCGCTATCGCAAAAAAATACTCATGCGCGAAATCTGCGCAGATCGCAAAAAAAAGCTAATATGAGAGGACGTCCTTAAGGTGCATTTCCTTTCGGTAGACATTTACGGGAACCTTTGTTATTCAGGTCCTCGTATCATTGGAAGTATCAGTGCGTGATATATGTTGTGCTTTGCGTTACACATTATACAGGATATGCATGTATCAAAAGGATCTACATGTATCGCCGTATGTATTCACGTTGCCGAAAAAGAAACATATTCTCACCATGTGTATGTTACGTGTTGTACAGACACTTAGTTAAACGAAATATGTAAAAGTGTGTAGTGTACAGTGTAGATGAGAGGGTGGATAAAAATTAGTCCCTACTGTCTCCTCCAAGCAGTGTTAGAAATTAAGGCTGGACCGTCTGTCCAGGCAGACAACTTTCAGAACGGGCTGAGAAGTTTTCCCACCCATCAGACATTCTGTCCAGCTACTTTTCAACATGGTTGGACCTTTGGTCCAGATTTTCCTAAGAGGCAAACACTGCCTCCAAGGGTGAAAAAGAAACAGGCACACTAAAGTCCTCTAAAGAAAAATTCAGGGGCTGACATTTTGTGACACACTGACAGCCTTCCTAATTATTTTTGTTGTTCCATCCTCCATTTTTGACCATCTTCCGACAGAAAATAAACTTGAAAAATCCTGAGAGTCTCCCAGAAGACCAAGAAGACGGCTTCCATCCTCTAACTATTTTCATTGGTTGTCTTTCGTTTTGTGCGCCACCATTTATGTCTTAATGTTACATTAAAATGAAAGAAAACGAGACAAATAAGATTTCTTGCCTTCAACTATCTGTGAAAATTGTCCATTTGATTCATACGTTACCGATTTGTACGTGACCAAATAATAACAAGGTGTTGTATTCTGATTCCATTGATTGTTTTCTGTTGTCACGTCTTTGTGAATGGGTGTGACTTTGTATATGTTCGCACTACGTTTTCCGGCGCTCATTCTTATTTGTTACGTAAATATGATACATACGTTATCAAATAACGTGAAGGTATTGTTTTCTGATTTCATTGTTTGTTCTCTCTTGTCGTGACTCTGTGGTTGCGTGCGACGTTGTATATGTGCGCAAGCTTGTTTTTACGCCGCTTATTCTTCTTTGTTACGTTAAAATGATACATACGTTACCGATACATACGTTACCATGAAGCGTGTAAATATTTATTCTATTTTCATTGGTTTTCTTTCGCTTTGTGGCCAACACTTATGTCTTTTATTTGTGTTTCATTAAAATAGTGTTGGCGCACAAAGCGAAAGAAAACCAACGAAAATAGAAGAGAATATATTTACACGCTTTATGGTAACGTATGCATCATTTTGACGTAACAAAGAAGAATGAGCGACGTAATAACATGCATGCGCACATATACAACGTCGCACGCAACCACAGACTCGCGACAACAAAGAACAAACAATGAAATCAGAAAACAATACCTTCACATTATTTGGTAACGTATGTATCGGTGACGTATGTATCATATAAACAATTTCAACAAACGATTTCAAGACAAGTAATCCTTACTTGCCCTACTTTTCCTGCTTATTGTAATGTAGTATACCGTAAGAATAAGGCGTTTGCTCACAAAACGGACAACAAACAATAAAAATATAAGTATTTACACGCTACATGGTAACTATTTTCATTGCTTGTCTTTCGTTTTGTGCGCCAACACTTACGTCTTAATGTTACATTAAAATGAAAGAAAACGAGACAAATAAGATTTCTTGCCTTCAACTATCTGTGAAAATTGTTCAAATGATACATACGTTACCGATATTTACATGGCCAAATAATATGAAGGTGTTGTTTTCTGATTCCATTGATTGTTTTCTGTTGTCACGACTTTGTGAGTGGGTGTGACTTTGTATATGTTCGCACTACGTTTTACGGCGCTCATTCTTATTTGTTACGTAAATATGATACATACGTTATCAAATAACGTGAAGGTATTGTTTTCTGATTTCATTGTTTGTTCTCTGGTGTCGTGACTCTGTGGTTGCGTGCGACGTTGTATATGTGCGCACGCTTGTTTTTACGTCGCTTATTCTTCTTTGTTACGTTTAAATGATATATACGTTACCAATAGGCCTACATACGTTACCATGAAGCGTGTAAATATTTATTCTATTTTCATTGGTTTTCTTTCGCTTTGTGGCCAACACTTATGTCTTTTATTTGTGTTTCAATAAAATAGTGTTGGCTCACAAAAGGAAAGACAACCAATGAAATTAGAATAAAAAATATTTACACGCTTTATGGTAACGAATGTATCATTTTGACGTAACAAAGAAGAATGAGCGACGTAATTACATGCGTGCGCACATATACAACGTCGCATGCAACCACAGAGTCACGACAACAAAGAACAAACAATCAAATCAGAAAACAATACCGGCGGGTCTGTACCCTATTCGGGAAAGTACATAAAAAAATCTCAATCTGATGGCAAAACAAAACGGTAAGATTAATACTTCATTTACTCCTACAGTTTAACAAATGAGAACTACACAGGCGTATTTCTGAAATATTTAACTGCCTATATATAATTCTTCAATATTCTTTTCTAATTTTATCATTTTACAGCTGGTATGGACAGTCAAAATGTCGTTTTGCTCCCCTTTTCAGTTTTTCATGTCATGATTTATTTCATACTGTCAATAATATGCTATAAATAAGTTTACATGGGTTATGCAGACCCCATGAAATTGTTTCATAAATTGTATCAACATTTTATGACAAATTCCAATCTTCCCATCTATGTCTTGAAATGAATGGTTGAACAATAAAAACAGTAAGTTAAATCCCCTTTACACTGGACGGCGTCCTTTCTGCGTCCTTTGTGCGCCCATGAAACTGGCATCGCTGTGGTCGTAGAAATGAGGCACAAGCATCGCTTTCTTTGCAGAATGAATGCTCAGTGATTGGCCAGTTGTCGACACGAAAATTTTCGTTTTACTCTCAAACGGGACATAGAAAGGACGCCGTCAAGTTTGAAAGGGACTTGAAACATTGTGACCCCTTATAAGATAAGATAAGATAAGATAAGATAAGATAAGATAATTAAGAGTTTATTTAGCCAATTATAAAAATCGGAAATCATTTTCCTTTTCGAGCAAGTTTGATAATATATCATCATTATTACAGTAATGACTAGTGAAGTGCTGTACTTAAAATACAACGCTACCAAGCAAGTCAACGTCGCTCCTACGGACATGCGCGCTTTGACACTACCACATTTATAGGTGAAGGCATGACGCTGAGGTCACAAAGCAAATTCAATGCGTACTTGTTCAAGCACGTGCCCAGGGTCGTCTATAATGCCACGGAAGCGCCGTATACGTACGACACAACGATAAACTTGCAACCTGACAAATGCGAGTATTACGGTTATTATCTGCTTCCAGGGTCGACCATCGAACAACGAGTGTGTAGCGATTTTACAGGCAGCAAAATTACCATGTTCGTGATACGAGGCAGAGCCAATCTCGACAAATGGATTAATAGTGAGAACAAGATTGATTGCGGAAATTGTTACATCTACTCTCGCGTTGTCGAAGCAAGCTGTGGTCGTTGCTCCTGGGACGAGCAGTTTTCAACTTACACTCTTCATATAGAAGAAGCCGATGATTACTATTTTCTTTTCGCCAACTTTTTCCTGTACAACTCAAACGTCGTCCTTGCTCACTTCCGGTTGAACCGCACCATCTATGACGTCACAGAAGGGCTTCTGAGGTCATCGTGCAATCACGTGACTCACTGCCATTACCCACTGGAGATAAATTCAGCGGAAGTTGTCGTCATCGAAGCGCCTGCGTCCTACTCACACGATGACGATGTGGACGTCACAAACAACGTTCGTTCTTGGCTGTACGTAGTTTTCTTCCTAGTCATCCCATTAGCACTTGGCGTCATCTTTTCGTTTCTTTTGTACCTCTTTTGCAAGGTATCTGAGAAGGTGGGATGGACAAAAAATACATTTCAGCACCTAGAAGTCAATTAATACCTGGCAGTTACGGGCGTGCAACCGGTGTTTGGCATTCAAGTCTCGGAATGCATTTCATTAGCATCAAAAGATCGAGATCCCTCCCGTGAGTAAAGAGGCCGGATGCAGTCGTCGTATGGACAGGCTGTGTAAAAGGCGGCTTGGACAACGTTGATGCATTTCCACAAATTATGAAAACACTAGTGAATTTGTCTTTTGGAATTTAAAATGTAATATTCTTGATGTATTGTGAAACCTACATGTTATGTACGTGCATATAGAAATGTGTGTCCCGTTATTTTCTCTTAACTGAACGATAAACATATTTCAATCTACATCAAAGCAAAGAATACACGATCAGTGCAATGGTTTCGACACTGTGTTACCTGTAGTGAATCAGAATTATTCGTATTTGTGCAAAAAACCAATAGGCCTGCGCAGGTAGGAGAATTGGAAACTTGGGCTGTATATTTTTCTCTCAAATGCTGCTGTAATTATATTTTTACCATTTTAATGATGTAATATACGATACTAAAATAAACATAAAACTGCACTCCACATTATTGTGTTTGTATTGACATGTATCATTTGCATTTTATCTCCTGACCAAGATATGCCAAGATATGCCATATGGTCCTGTCTCAAACCTCCCTCTTTCTCTCTCTCTCAAACATCAGCCTAGAGAAATGAAGCCGAAAGAGATGTACCTTTCTCAATATCTGAATGCGACCAAAACTTCGTCGATTACAATAAACACGTTAGTGTAATGCTGAAAAAATTAATCCAAAGTGATAAATAACCCAGGAACTTTGGAAAGTGACTCCACAGTTTGATAATTAAGATTTATTTGACTGCACCTTAGGGAGAATTACCGATGAAACAGATCGCTCCTCCAAGTACGATAAGGTTACAGGAAGGCAGGTAAAAGCAATGCTGTAATGTTCACAAATCGTGTTGGTCGCCCAGCTGTCCGCTCAATACTCATACATACCTAGGGATTTTATATGACCGTGGCGATATGATGATCACTGAAGCCTGTCCATTTAGCCAAGCTTCAGTGAAGATCGAGGGCAACCTCAAGCCGCTACCCAAAAATGTCTCGCTTCACTCGACATTTCTGCGTA